CCTGTCTCGTCTTCAGTCATTTGCTGGAGCTATCACCGTCCAATGCCTCACTCTCAACTAGTAAGGGTGGCATGTGTGATCACGTGGAACATCCGCCTAACGAATATTGATAACGTAAATGTGACTCAAATTTTCATTTTTAAGGAAAATTTGGTCGAAAGTATGTGACATGTCTCATCGGGCGTTACATTGTCGAAGCAGAGGCATATTTAGTTCTGTTTATACTTAATTTCTAGAATATTATAGATAAATGTGTTGCCTAAGGTTCAGCCTATTTCCAGATTGATGAAATTTTTAAAAATATTTTATTTGATCTCGTTTTCACAACTTGGTCTGGGCGACAGAGAGACCATGTGAAATGAACCCATTCCTGCATTATCTAATATAGTAATCATGATGATTTACAGCATCTTAGTCGGTTAGGTTAGCGTGAGACGGAACCATTTTCACCGTATTTGATGATGGCAATCTTCCGGGCCAAATTTCTGTTCAATGCTTGTGTAATCTCTTTTGCAATGGACTCCTAGTGCTGTTTCCCCATTTCTCAATCACCCTTTAATTTGCCAATTTTCTTATCTACACTTCTCAATAGCTAAGTCTGTTCCATTATCTTAGAAATGTGTGGCTTTTCTAGTAAGGTGTGATAATCTTCAGCACCGATTTCGCAGGAATCTTTGATCCCATTTGATTCCGCATTCAGAAATTCCACTTTTTCAGGCTCGTCTGCAAAATTCCTGCGTCCTATTAGACTGGCTAGTTGCAATGAATTAACTGGGGTTACCGCATACGTCATACTCGAGGGTTTATTCACATCATTGGCGTCGAACATGTCATAAAGAATGTACGCTATGCTCACTGAGAACGGCTTTCCAAAACGGTAATTATCGTTCTCTTAAGTTTCCTTGGTTTCTGAACTTCGATCACTAAGTTATATTTCTATCATTCCACCCACCCGTGTTCGTCAACTTCCCTAGAGCTTCGAGGTCTGTCTTCCTTTGGACCCGCTACTTGTAATTTTTTCACTCCTGCCTCAAGAATAACTCCCGTTCGTGTTTGCCTTATTGCTTCGGACAAGTTGTGAAATCGAGGTCATACCAACTCAACAAAGCGGTTGTCAAGCCTGAGGCCACACTAGCTTAATCTTAAAATCTTATTTGTCTCACTAAATCCGCTCAGACCGGGACAAGTAAACCAAGTTTAAGTAAGAAAGTAAGAAATTGTCATAGTGAAGGGGCAATACGAGGATATAGGATAGGTGAATACTCCAGGACAGAAGAGATACCACAACTGTTTAGAAGACAATATATCAAAGGATTGATCTCACTTGTCTCCCTGACTAGTTGTACTGTGGTGCTAAGAATGGCTGAATAAATGCCTGGAAATGTGCCAAGTCCAAGGTTCAACTCTGCAAATTGTCATGCATATTATGGACTCCGGACAAGGTGCTTTCCTTTAGAACGCCCTGACAATGCGGCCGAGTTGTGAAAACACGACCAAACAACTTTTTAGTTTTCTAGTTAATCCTATGAGATACTTTGGCCTTTTCCCTGGACAGCTATTGAGTTTATATTTTAGGTTCCTTGTTTAAAAGATTGGCCAAGCAGAATATACATGAATAAAAACTGGATTTCGATATATCTCTTAAGAAAAATATGGTTGTGGAGACTTTCATTCCGTATGAAAGTGCACAACGAAAAGATTATTAAGTCGACTTCACCTTCTATGTCTAAATATTTCCTGCTATCTTTATATATAGCATGTAGGATAGAGCTTAATAGTCTTTTTGACTTTGTGCTAACTTGAGACTTGTGAAAGAATCAATTCCAATTTTGATGATGTCCTTGATTTGATGGACAAAGAGTCAGGCAGTTTTCACCAGAAACGAGGCAGGATGTCTCTTGGACTTTGTCAACCTGGATGTTGTAGTAAATACGAACAGCTGCAGGTCTTTTGGCTTGATGCGGCACTGTCATACGAAATAAAAGTCTCTACAACAAAATCCAACTTGCTTAGATATCTTAGTCTGAGAAATGGTTTCTATTCTAGCTCTGTTAATAACGCAGCTAAGATGACAATCTCTGCAAATCAACTATCAGACACTAGATTTACCACGTGTCCGTCATTTCAGAAGTTAACTTTTACTCATGGGAACCTCAATTTCCATGCACGCTTATTTCATGACTGAGGCCTTGATGTATGATATAGATATTCTTTAACAAGTTAGTGCAACATGACTGCTCACTTTCAGCAAAATGTTGACTGGAAAGGATTTTGGAATTGGTCTTACCAGAAAACTTGCAGTTGTGACTATTGGAATGTGCGAAAACGCCTCATCTCCCAGATCCATTCGAGTTAAATCACTGTATATGTAACAGTGGCAGAGACCACCAAACGCAAAAACAAGCATTCACGAAAAGTAAACAAAACTCTATACAAGAAAAAACAGTGGGCTGTTGTCATACCCACTCCTTACATCTCATTTCACAATCTTACTGAGGCAGTCCATGCTTTGGTTGGCTACTTAATGCTTGTTGTGATGGCCCATTTTGCGTAAAGATGCCTCGGGAAAAGATTCGTGCTACTTGATAGACATCGTCATAGTTGGATCGCATTCTTGCTGAAGCTGTAAGTTGCTGTTAAGACAGGAAGACTAAATGGCACTGCATTACATTCTAAATCTAGACAACTAATAAAAACTAATAGTACATAGATAGACAGCGAATTACTTTTCAATATGAAAACCAGGCTGTTGTGACCTCAGTCATGGCTACTGTGGTGTCAGGGTGACCTAGTATGGCGCACCTTGTCCGAAGTCCTCTGCCACAGTACTTTTGGTGCATCTTTCATTTCTTTTGAAAAGTCGGATTGAGGGCATTGAGTGCCTTGTGAAAAATACTCAGGCCCATCGTCCTACAACCCTGATAAATCTGTGCAGAGCTTTGTTCACGGTGTCTCCGAAATGATCAGAGCCGGAAAACGTCATTTTCAAAAATATTCACCAAAAACAAAAAACCAATAAAAGCGGTAAGTTAAAATCCGACTTACCCTTTGTACCTGAATTTAAGTCGGGAACTGTTTTTCGCTTAGTGTTTTGTGGAATTTTTCCTAAATGATGGCTCCTGGCTTTTATAATATCTTTCACGTGACTGACGAAAGCTCAGAACGGTGGGCCGAGCAAAGTGCCTTCCTCCACGTTGACTTGCCAATATGACCAAGTTGCAAAAACGGGGTCAAACAATTTTATAAATGAAAGGTTGTTCATTTGTTCGTTTTGTTTGAGGCAGCGAATGGAAGGGATTCGTAAATCGGCCTCAGTAGCAGTCGAAGGAGGATTGTCTTGAGGTTGTGACTAGTTTGTTTCTAATAAACCCTCGGTACACTGTTGCATACATCCGATGAATCTGTCGCGATGACTCATGGCCGAGGGATGCTGTTCCGAGGAGTTATTTGAACAAATTTTGTCAACCAAAAGACAATCCTCGGCTTGCGACTGCTACATTTGGTATCCCAGACAAAATGAAACACATACCAACAAATCCTTGAGACGCCCCGCCAGGATCATCGTAGCGGCATCACGCGACGACAATCGCCGTTTGATGAGTTGTGACTTGATGCTTACCATCGCACACTTTTTCACTCGAAATGGAGGTCATCATGCCAACAGTATCTGAGGTGAATCATTAAAACCCAGTTACATTGCGTCCATTCTTCACGCTTTAGAGGTTGTAGCGAGTGGGGGATTTTCCTACTCAGCTAAACTGATACTTATACTACTGATACCTAAACTACTCGTGTTGTACGTGTCTTTGTCTCTACCCTGCCCTGCCCTGCTCTCGGCACAGACGCTGGAGCTGGCACTGTCGAGTGTGTTGTCCTCGATCCCTCGGGTCGGCATGACGTCATCAAACCGCGCGTGAGCCAAACGAACGATGACAATGTCTATTTGGTGGAGTACACCCCCAGGGAGCAAGGGGAGCATCAACTTCAGGTCTTCTTTGCCGGCCGTCAAATCCCCGCCACGCCGATCAACATCCCAGTAGGACCACGTTAGTTTGCTCATTCCCAGTTTATCGATCGGCTTTTACATTCTTATCCGCCTGCCTATCTGTCTGTCTCTATCCGCGTGCCCCTCTGTTTGTCCGTCTATCTGCCCTCCATCCCTTAGTTTGTCTCTTTCTCGTCTATACGTTGATCTGGCCTAGTGCCACATTTGCGTTTTAACTCTCAGTCTCTCTCTCTCTCTCGTCCACAGTCGTCATATATACACATTCACTTTCGATTTTTTTTGTTTTTAACCTTCATTGATAAACTTCAAGTTACTCAAACATGCATCTTATGCTCTAAGTCCAGGTTTGCAGGACAAGACCTGTTTCTTGACTGATTTAAATTTGATCTTTCCTTGCAGGACTAGCATTCATCGATCGGGCCAGGCTCGGCCCTTTGCGAAGCTCGGTTCCGGAGACCGAAGCGCCCACATATCCTGCTCAGTTTTCATGG